AACTCTAACATATAAATACCAACATTAAAAACTCCATCTAACGTATAGATACCAACATTAAAAACTCTAACGTATAGATACCAACATTAAAAACTCTAACATATAGATACCAACATTAAAAAGTCCATCTAACGTATAGATACCAACATTAAAAAGTCCATCTAATGTATAGATACCAACATTAAAAACTACATCTAATGTATAGATACCAACATTAAAAAGTCCATCTAACATATAGATACCAACATTAAAAGGCCATCTAACGTATAGATACCAACATTAAAAAGTCCATCTAACATATAGATACCAACATTAAAAGTCCATCTAACGTATAGATACCAACATTAAAAAGTCCATCTAACGTATAGATACCAACATTAAAAACTCTAACATATAGATATGGATAATTGGAGTCACATGATAACTACCAGCTGATTACAGGATTTCCGCTTGGTTGGTGCAGCTGTACTGACGACACGTTTTGTTAGATAGCTTGTGAAGTGTTTTAAACAACTGTTCTTCTGTAATACCATAGACGTTGAATAAACATTGCAGAGCGAAATTACAATTCATTGCTTGGAAAATAGAATAAAATAGAACTTTTAGAAGATCAAGAATATAAACATTTATCAGTTACATAATTTAGCAAATAAATAACTAACTTGTATTCTATTTAAGCGATGATTTTAAACACTATTAACTATAATTGATGAGAATGTTGTTGTTAAGTACATAGCTATATACACTAGGCTACCTGGGCTCTATCGACTGCGGGTATCGAACTTCGACTTTTAGCGTTATAAGACCTCAGAGTTACCACTGAGTCACCGAGGGCAATTAATATATTCTTTCTTCCCCATTGGAGACAGTTTTCTACCTTTAATTACCAGATCAGGTTGAGCGATGGTAGCTGTAGAACAATATCTTGTAAGTGTTCTCATCAAAGAATCTATTAACTTGTGGATGGACTAGTTTCTTTAAGCCCTCCCCCTCTCGTTTTCCCGTTGTTAGGTGAAGCTACAGACTGTAACAATGAATTTATAAAAGTCCAGTTGTCGGGTGAAGCTACAGACTGTAACAATGAATTTATAAAAGTCCAGTTGTCGGGTGAAGCTACAGAATGTAACAATGAATTTATAGAAGTCCAGTTGTCGGGTGAAGCCACAGACTTTAACAATGAATTTATAAAAGTCCAGTTGTTAGGTGAAGCTACAGACTGTAACAATGAACTTATAAAAGTCCAGTTGTTAGGTGAAGCTACAGACTTTAACAATGAATTTATAAAAGTCCAGTTATGTTAGCTGTGAAGTGTTGAACTACTTATTTTGATAAATTTGTGTTGTATCAGTATTGTCATTAGATAAACTGTTTTAAATCCTGGAAAAAAATTAACATACTTTGTGGAATTTATAGAAAATTAGATTTTAACAATATGTTTTTCTAGTAAATTGTCGTTTTCTTTCGTCGGTACAGTTGAATCATCTGTCAGTCTGAGAAGGTTCGTTGTTTTGGTTTTGAATGATTTCTAGAAATTCATCTATGTGTCTGACAAATGTTAGCTGTGAAGTGTTGAACTTCCTATTTTGATAATTCTCTGGTTTACCAATATCGTCATGTATAAAGTGTTTTAAATCTTGGTAAGAAATAACGCATTGTTTTGTTGAACTGTGGAACTTTCAGCTCTCATGTTTTCTTTGGTGAGAATCTCCAAATGAAGTTTACATTTTGATGTATATAAAGTACAAAGATTGATAGGAACAATGTTTCTGTTACTGTGAAAGGGAGTCTTTGTCTGACTTGCAGGTACATAACCCAGGAAAGTCATAAGATGGAGGTTCAGGCTCGACCACCGATGGCTGTTACTAATGCTGTGTCCTGGAGGTCAGAAGGTATCAAGTATCGAAAGAATGAAGTGTTTCTAGATGTAATCGAATCTGTCAACCTCTTGGTGAGTTCTTCTCTGTGGTGAGGAGGTTTTTGTTTCTAAGCTTCAACATTTTACCTACGCTTCAATATCGAACAGTTTGTATGTATTAACCCTGAAGAAGCCATAAAAGTGAAACATTGGTAGTAATAATAAAAACAAATGTATATATACATCAGGTGTGTAAAGGTCGTTTATCTAAACTTTTATCACAATGTTTAAATCCCTCCAGTATGAACTACAGACAGTGAATGTGGCAGTAAAAGGGTTAAACTGGTACTGAGACAGTTGTTTATCTGGGAATGTGGCAGTAAAAGGGTTAAACTGGTACTGAGACAGTTGTTTATCTGTGAATGTGGCAGTAAAAGGGTTAAACTGGTACTGAGACAGTTGTTTATCTGGGAATGTGGCAGTAAAAGGGCT